AACCAATAACATACCATTTCCAATATGAAAAACACTGAAACTTGTTTATTTATTTATTTTGGTTCATTTATAGTTGTGGGTGTGTCTGTGCTCCTGAATCAGCCTCACCTGTCTCCCTCCTCTCCCCCTGCTCCTCTTTGAGGCAGCAGCAAAGACTAGTTTTAGCTCTCAACAAGTTTTAAAAGTGTATCTTACCTATTTTCACCTAGTTAACTTTTTATTTATTTATTCATGCATATTTTACTAATCACTACCCTCTCAAATGGAAATATGTGTTTACATAAATGGTGACCAAACCGTTTGAGACCCACTGAGAACTTAGACTAAGTTAACCATCTAAACACTCAAGAGTCCTTTCCCTCACCTGAGCTGAGGTTTTCCCGAGCTTGAATGACACACAGAGACCAATCAAGGGCTTTGATTTATGATTTGGATGACAGTGGCCATCTCGGCAGGCCACATGTAGACAGCCAGTCACCCTGTGTGAGGCAGGCCACTTAACAGGCCAGGCCATCGGGAAACCCCTCGGTCCTCCCGATGGCCAGTCCGGGACTGAGTACAGGAGGCGTAGAGCGAGGGATCATTGTCCATAAGTTAATCGATCGCAGATGGCGTCGTGGTCACGGATGGAAAAAGAAACCTAAATGGGTCGCGAAATATACTTGGGCGGCCGTTAATATACCTGGGCGGCCCGCCTAAGTATGTGTGGGAAACCCTGGATATGTTTTATAATGATTGATCATGAAAGTGTTCTCAAAGCTGGTAAAGGTGCAGCTAGTTGTAATGACTTTGTATACTGCAGGGTAGCTTGTGGATTTACTCCAGGAGGAACTTAAGTGTGATTTAACACTTGATTATATTTCACATCATTAATCCACATCTGTGAAGTAACTTGAAGTATTGAATAGATGTAGTGGAGTAAAAGTACACCATTTACCTCTGAATTCTAGGGTAAAAGTACGAAGTAGCAAAACATAAACACAAAACATACGTAAATTACAAATATCTCCAAATTGTACTCGAGTACAGTACTTAAGTGAATGTACTTTGTTACTTTACACCACTGTCTGAGAGTCCATATTTCTCACCACATTATCAACATAGTCAAATTGAAAACATTGACTGTCACTGAGCCTATTTCAATATGGAGAGATCTTTTATTTAAATAAATCTTCATCTGAGTTGCAGGGTGTCCTCGGCCCCTGTGGAGCTGATCCGCTGGGACCTGGTCGTGGAGCTGGAGGAGGGAAAACACTCTGTGGAGATCACCAAGTCAGGGAATGTTTATACTGTGAGTATTTAATAAGCATCCAGGAACAAATGAAATATCTTTAATATCTTCGTTTACGACAAACGAGTGTCCCTGAAGCACGAGGATAAGAAAGTCACCATCAAACAGGCATGCTAGTTCATGTTTGTGGGTTGTCATATAAAACATTATCATGTTATCAACTGTGTCCAAACCTGAGCTCCAGAGGATGAGATGAAGATCATTCAGCAGGGATTCATGTTACTGTAGTCTTCATCAGTGTGCATCTGGACAACTCTCAGTAGACTCTGTCTGTGTCTCTGCAGGTGGAGGTGGATGGAGAACAGATGGAAGTCAGTGGACTGTGGAACCTGGCCTCCCCCCTGCTACCACTCAGCATCAATGGCACACACAGGATGCTACAGGTAACACACGCACACCCCATATCTTATTTACCACACAGAGCGTGGTGAGGGCGGAAGAAACTATAACAGAAGAAACTTTAGAGACGTCTGATGCAGTGCTGATGATCTGTTGTCTTCTGTTTCAGTGTCTGTCCAGAGATGCTTCAGGAAGGATTGACCTGCAGTACAAGGGCACGTCGGTAAGATGTCTACACACTAGGAGTGTAACGGTTCACAGAAGTCACGGTTCGGTATGTACCTCGGTTTGGGGGTCACAGTTCGGTACGGGTTCGGTACAACAAGAAAAAGCAAAAAAAAGTCCCAAATGCATAATTCCAGGTTTGTTGTTATTTATTTTTGAACAGTAGTGCAAGTTTCAGTTTAAAAATAAGGAACTCTGACATTTTGAATAATGAACTGTATTAAACAGTTAAAAACAAACCACAAACAGTACCACACACACTCAGATGGCCATATTATCTATAATGGCTGATGTCAAACAAAAAGGTTTCATCAAGCTGTAAAACTAAAATTCATGTTTTGAAAATATTTCATCATAAATAATAAGAAATTGTTTCAAGAGCGCATAGTCGTTGAGAAACATATACTGTATATGCCAAAAGCTTCTGTTATTTATTTTGGTCTCACGGCTTTCATGTCTATTGGTTTATTAAAAACAGCGGGGAGAAGCTGTTGAACTGCTGTTGTCTTTTGCCGGGCTCCGGTGATTGGCAAATCTGGGTGATGCCTTCTGATATGATTTAGCATGTTTGGCTTGTGTTAACATTAGCATACCGCACCGCTGTCTAACAACGCCGGCACACCGTCCTCGTCCGATCCACCACTCGCACTCCATCGTTATTGTAGTCCACAGGGAACCCGAAATGTTCCCACACAGCTGATTTAAAAGAAGCAGGTGGGTTCTAGCTCCTGTGTGTTATCTGAAATCGCCATTCTAACTTTTCTTCTTCTTGTATT